TTTTCTGACTGCCTTACAAAAGCCTCATCAGCAAGTTATTCGTCAATCTACGAAGCCACTCAAACCCCTCGTGCTATCGAAATTTTCTGCTCGTGACCTGTCAATTTTACAAGAAGCACCTACTAAGGTTTTTTTCGCGCGCTTTTTTCTGGAGTACCAGATAGTGGCTACGTGTGTTTTGGTTCGCTCAAGGCCGTGCATAGTTGAGGAGCCTTTGCCGGACGTTGAAGAGCTCTTTAAAGCCTTGTTAAAGGACTTCCGCGAAATAAAAGCATACTCATGTTCAGACAATCTGCAACAGGTGACGCTATTTGTGTATTTTTCATTTGCGAAGCTCGCTCGTAATGAGATGTAGCTATCTTGTGCATGCCGAGTATCCTAAATGAATATTATTTTATTTTGAAAGTATCCTGACTATCTGAATGACACCTGCCCTTTATTATTCTTAACCACCTAGGTGATTCCCCCTTGCATTCGTGACATTCTTATTTCAAAAGCATGTAGAGGCGCCATAATGTTCCACACCAAGCTCAGCCGCGTGACTTGCAAAAGTCTTTTACAAGAGGTCTCTCAGACATCATTCCCCTTCAACTGCGCGCACGGCCGCCCAAGCATTGCACCTCTGGCTATGCTGAAGCATCGTCCCACGGTGCAGCATATAGTTAAAGGTGCCGAAGATACAGCGAGGTCACAGACCCCAGAGAATGACAGCTCCGCCTCCGGCGCCAAGGATGGTAAACCGCATACAAGGGAATCTGAGGAAGCTCCATTTCGCTTCCGTATGCAATTAGGACTCTTGCAACCCAAACCAAACATTGAAAAGCTCGTCAGTAGCCAGAAGCACAATTAAAACAAACGATACCTAGAATGGACAAGGAGAGGCAAGCGAGGGCGGAGGGAAATAAAATCGCTGCGTGACAAATAACATGTTAGCAAATTCAACTCTGCAACCATGCAACGTTTTTCCCCAAAAAAATTAAATAGAGCTCTTTCACTATCGTTCGACATTCCTGAAATTTTCCGCTTCCTCTTCATCGATAGGGGTCCAAGCAAGTATACACGAGTTCTCTGGGGACACATCAGGTTCACAGTACAAGAGGCACTCAGCCTCCAAACCCGAAGCCCGCAGATATGCTAGCCGTCCGTAATCGATGAGGCGCTTGCATGCCCGCCCAATTTGAATCTTTTGATCGCGGCTCAGGCCCTTTCCCAAGGAGGTGTAGGCATCATCCATTTCCGCCTGCCGCCGGCCTCCGACTTGCTCCCCTCCCGCATCGCCGCTCGTCCGCCGCACAGTCTCTTCCCTCTGCCCCCGCACGCCCCTATCGTCCTCCACACCCCCTTCACCTTCCGCCCCCGTCTCCTCTTCCTCACAACTGTCTGCGTACGACTCTCGCCCCGCTTTCCCCTCTTCCCGGAGCCGAGGCTTGTATCGGTGCCCCCGGGCGCTAGTCAAGGATGACACCCAACACGCGCTGCGCTGCGCCACCTCGAACTCCTCACGATCCAGCCCCAAGTCATTCTCCCACGCCTCGACCCCGACATAGTCCTCGTACCGACAGACGTGGTAGCAGCAGGTGGCGATCACCAGCCCTACCCTTGCCCTTCTCCTCCCTTTCGAAGCATTCTGTGCTCGAGGGGAACCCTTCTCATCCTGCCCTACTATGGTCGCCCCCTCCCCCAGCCGCGGCCCTTGCTCACACGGCCCCTCTCCCGCTGCCCCCTCCTCCTTGCTACCTTCGAAGTCTCGGACATAGTCGGCTACGGCACGCAGCGACAGGTCCGTGGCCACCCCGCAGACGTGCTTCCCCATGAAGACGAGGGGAGAAGTCAGCCCCCCAGGTCCGAGCGGCAAGCCGTTTATCCACAAGTCTCGTATGTCGAGGCGGTATCGGGCAAAGACGCCTCCCTCCCCCGTCCGCCTGTAAGGAGCGTCGGCTTTCAGCCTGACACCCGCGCGCTCGACCAGCACCACGCGGGCCTCGGGGAACGCCTGGTGCACAGCATGTCCCAGCGTACCCCGACCTGCACCAAGCTCCACGCACGTGCTGCGAGCGCCCAGGAGGCCACGCCGGTGGAGGTGCGAGATCAGGGAAGCTTGCTGCACCAAATGCCTTGCTTTGCTTTCACTGGTCCAGTTTTTGGCCACCATGGTCGCAAGGATCTTCTCTGCCACCGGACCGCTCGTAATTTGCTCCACTTCTTCCCCTCGCGGATGCGATTGTTTTTGATGCTGCAATCCTCGAATTCGGGCTAAAATTGCAGGCACCTCGTCAACGTCAAGAGGCTGAGGATTTAAACCTGGGCGCCTGAGACTCCCGCTGTTGATGCTTCTGCGGTAGAATGGTTTATCCTCCAGGAATTTTTGTTCCCTCTTGACGTTGCAGACGCGGAGGTGTGCACTTAATTCCCTTTCATACACAGTGTGATTCGAGTCTAAGGGACAAGGCACTCGACGTTGCCCACCCCGCTTTTCTTGTGTCTTGCTACGTGCTGCTGCGGCACAATTCTCATATCCTGCCTCCAAATGTTGATGATTTCCACACCACTTTGAAGTTGGAAGTCTTGGAACCGTGCAAAAGCGCAACTTTCTCTTAAGAAAAAAAGCACAACGATCCTGTTTGGGGGGGCAACGGATCTTAAGGCCGATGTCCGTCCCTGTCAAAGGCGAGGGAGGTATGACAGCTTCAGAGGGCGTCCTGGTCTCTTTACTGTCCTCCATAATACCCTACTTCACGAGTGATTGATGTCGGGATGGTCGAGTCCGTTCTTTATTTGCTTTCATTGCACCTGGCTTGGAGAGAGAGATGTGGAGATCAGCTTGAGTCGGGCAGTACCGCAGGCCAAGCATACAAATTAGGGCACGCGAGTAATTATACAGCACCCCTCACACCTCTTACACCTGAAGGCATCAGGCATTGAGCCGCTTTTTTTGACATGACTTTGAGAAGAAATGTCTTTATTGTCACATTTGCCTTGATTGTTGTATTGAAGGCTTCCTAGTAGCACCCTGACCGTCCGGGGGGGTACAGTAGCTGTCTACTGGTAGTAGTCTGCATCATCTTAGGCCATTCGCAAGATAGCAACTGCGGTTTTGTAGCCATCTCTTCATGGTCAGAAACATTATTAGTGACAGGAATGCACCAACCCGCATTTGACGCCGTTCGCTTGGACTTGATTCCTACACGTTGCACCCTCCAGACAATTAACATCAAGTATACCCAATTCCACGACTGCGAGAGAGCTATTCAAGCATGTTCGTCTTTTTTTGCTCAATAAACAGCAAAAAGTAGTCAGCTTGTGTTCTCTTGTATTTGGCGCCGGTGAAGTCGATGCCATAGTGTGCGTGTGTCTATCACACAAAGAACTGAACACACGGGTCCTGTGCTATGGATGCTCTTTGCGAAGGATTGAAGACAGAGATGAAACATTCATTTCAATTCTTTTCACAGATTGCCCTCTCCTAGAGGGCCTCATTCACAGTACATACAGTTTTACCCCCTCCATTGTTTTCTATTTCCTATAGCCTTCCACTGGTCCATTCTTCCTTGCTCCTCTGATGCCGTTTACCGGACAGCTTTTGACAACTTTAACATTTTACATTTTCCCTTTGTAATATACTCATGGACGCGCACCCTTCTACTTTCTTCTCGCGGTGGCGGTCAGTTGCACAAGTTCCCTCTCGGGCATTTGATCTAGTCGCATGGAGGTCCACCTGGAACACTTTCCTGTCGCATCGCCTGCGGTGACTCCACGTTGATCCTTTCCCACCCGAATGGCAGTTATGGCTGCAGTATGGATTCCTTGCAGAATTTGCATGACCTTGAGCTGTCGCCCTTGTGTCGTGCCCGTGTTGCTGCCCAGGTCGACCTCCGCTCCGGGGCCTGCCAGGTCGTCACCATCCATGCATTTCCCCCCTCTCCACGCCCTCTCCTCCCGAGCCCCTGCAGCAGACGCCCCTCTATCTAGACGTTGGCCAGCTTCATCGTCGGACAAATGATGGAGGCCCCATAAACAAAGCTTGCCGTTGTCATGACCGGTGACGGCGACCACCCCGTTCAGCCACTCGGGGCACCCAGTAGCCACTGCACACGTAGGCACCTCCTTTACGACCGCGATGGCCGAGACCTGCGCCAGGAGCTCGCCAGTCACGCTCCAGACACGGACGTCCACGCCCCCCAAGGTCACCATGTCGCCCGTGAGTTTGTTGATTGAGACGGAGATGACAGGAGCGGCGTGGCCGACAAGCAAGCGCTGCGAGGTGAAATCACGCACATCCCAGACTACAGCCACACGATCCGCACCTCCGCTCAGGAGGATACCAAGCTCCGCGGCCACGTCCACACACAAAACTTCGCTTGAGTGCCCGCACAGTGTTGCCTGCAATGATAAGGTTTTCCCGCCGCCCCCCGCATTCGAGTACAGTTGTGTCGGTGGAGCACTGGCATTATGCTTAGCCAACGACCAAACCCGCAGCGTCGAATCTAAACTTCCGGTCACGGCCAGCTCGCCAGCCTCGTCCAATGCGAGGCAGTTCACTGGCCCGAGATGCAATTGCTCATGGACACTCACAACTCGGTCCACATACTGATGCCGTGTCGTTGGGATGGCCACTCGGAAAGCAAGGCCATTATCCGGCGATCCATAACGAGCATACTTGACCAAACTTGGCGGTACTAGTAAGCAATCAAGACCCACTCCTACAGGGCGGTCTTTCACGGCCCAGACGTCCCCCACCGGATGCGTTGGGCTTGGCAGTGCCCCGCCATGGGGGGCACCGAGTTGCGAGGTAGCGGCAGGCCGCAAGGCGATCGTTTGCGGAGCGCCCACGATGCAAAGCGAAGGGGTGGTGAACTGGTGCCAGTTGAGTGCGGAGATGTCGACAGATCGCTGTAGTCCAGTGCTGTTGAGGGCACTATTAGCAGTCGAAGCATTGCCCTCGACGATTGCACTGCCAGCGGTATTGCCCCCCAGGCCTGCTATGTTTCCGCTGGTACCAGCCATCATTGTGACAGAGGCCTCATCCAGCTGTTGGCTTTGCAGTGGTAAAGGTACACGGCGGGCGGGATGGGAGCGTTTGAAGAGACGGCTGGGCGTCTGGCCAAAATTATGTATTTGGGCGATTGTTGCCTCGCGTACGACAGGGTCCTGAATGGCGTCGATATCCACAACCCCCTCATAAGTCAAATGAACGAATAAGTTTTGTGACTTTTCGGCCTCAGGTCCGGTCTGCTTGCATCCAAATATCAGGTCGATCCAATGGCAGAGATTCTCGCTCACGTGCTTGCTCTCCAGGGCCATGCGCTGCAAACGAACAAACTCCCGGGCATCCCCCTTTGCCCACGGAGGAAGCATGACATGATTGACGTCCAGACCCTTTTGTAGCCACCCATAATCGAATTGATTGTGGTTCGTCAAAAAATCGGGCAGGTAGAAAAATTCTGGGATGAGTTCCCGCACGTCCTGCAAGTTTTCGTGGGAGGCACTGTCCCAGCTACTTTTTATATCGCGGAAGAGTCGATCGGCCTTGTCGAATTTCCCACCCTGCAATTGAAGATGCAAGCGAGCGTACGGCTCAAGGCGCAAGAGGTAGTAGAGCACATAGCCTGCACAGCTATAATGCGTACCGTAGTGGAAGGGGGGCGCTTCTCCAGCCGCTTCCTCTGGGGCCATGTCCTCTACCAGCGAGGCTAATTGTTCAAAGCGCTCCTGGAACTGTTTCGCACGCGATTCCCCTAATGCGCCCATGGGCTTCCGCAAATCCCGATAAACTTCGGGGTTATTTAAATCCAAGGTTGGCGACGTGTAGTCAGACAGAACCCAAGGAAAAACTGGATATTGTGTGAGATCATGGAAAGACCGGCCCGCCAACGCATTCAAATGCATCAAATACTCAAAATTGGTCATCCGCCCACTCTGCCACCGGGTAGTGAGCTGCTGCCGCCAATGGGACATGAAACGCTTGTAATTTATCCTTCCGCCTCCCCCAAGCTTTTGCAAAGCTCCATCTTGGTTGTTGCTCCAGAAAACACTGTTGACAAGCGGCGCATCAAGCACTAAATCCACCACTTGGGTCTGCTCAGCGGGCGTCTCCAAGGCAATCAAGAAACTTCGTCCATCCACGTCAAAAAACTCCACGGCCACGTGTCGAAACTGATAACGGCGCTTGTAAAGAATGCGTAGCCGATCAAAACGCATCCGTTCAACGTGTGGCGGATTCTCCAGATCGAAACCTATCCTGGTAAGGCTGCATGCACGATTTTCCATAGTATCGTCTTCACCCGGCTGTTTTGCAGACACCTTCGACGGAAAAGCTGAGGTTTGAGTGTTATCCAGCATGCTGTTCGTCAACAGGGCTTCGGCCGAGGGCTGCAAGTCGTTGCTCTTCCTGCTAGGTGCACGAAGATAGACTTTAAAGCGGTCGTCAATGTCCTCTCCAGATCGTGCGGAAGACGATCCAGATTCTTTCACTTTGCGGCAGCCAGTCACCTCCCCATCATCGCCCGTATGCTCCTTCGAGATCGGATTGTTCTCGGTAGTCTCGGTCTTGTACTTGCCATCATCGCCCTGACTGCCGGCTGCAGGCAGGGAGGCAGGCGGAGGCGATGTCGAAAACGAACATGACACGCGTTTGATCGTGACCACGTTCGTTGAGCTCTGGGCTTCATCGCCGGAAGCCTTGACAAAGCCGTCCACTATGACCAGGCTATGCCGACAGAATAGCAATAGTGCGGGACTAACCTCAAGCCCCGTGCACCGTTGGACGTTGTAGAGTCGCAAAATTGGACCATCGCTTTCGTCTACGAATCCCGCAATCAGCTCGTTGGCAACTACATTCCTATCCTTGCTGTCCGAAACGGCTGCCTCCATGGCCAGCAAGGCCAAGGAACCTGACGCCTGAAGATGGTTAGACGAGTCAATGTCCGCCAGTGACACCTGGGAACGCAGGGCTGGAGGTAAGGAGGATAATGACGAGTTCGAGCACGTGTCCCGAACAAGTTTTAAGTGCGACGTGCTGCTCATTAACTCCGGCTCTCTCACCGAGCCTGGCCTTTCTAGCCTGGTACTGCATGCGTCGCTGACCGGACTTTCATGAAAGGGACAAGCGGTGGCACCCAAGTCCTCCAGTCCCCTGGTGGTCCGAGGATTCCGAACTGTCGTCGAGCTGGCATCAACAGTCACCGCGGCATCTTCTTCTCCTAACGCCGCTGTGCTGAAATTCTTCGCCACCTGCTGATCTGAGGAGGGTGTACTTTCTCTCATATCTGGCCCTCCGTCTGCTGCGTCGACCTCGAGCGCACGTGGGCTGGTCGCAGCGTTGTCAATGAATGGTCGCGGACCATCCGCGCCCTCACCGTACGAATCGAATAGATCATCCTCATCATAATCCTCGCCGTGGCCACTGTTTCTACTCCTCCC